AAACAACTGTAACACAGCCGCTTCTGCTTTGCCATTTTTAACCTTTCTACGGGTGACATAGCGATAAAGCGATTACAATCACTCAATTGATGCATGTTATGGCAAACAATACACTCATCATTTCTCGTTGTGTCTTGGGACTTCATCATAAATGCCTTCCTTATATGTATATGTGTATGTAAAATATGAGAATATATATCATTATTATTATACTCACTGGTTCCTTAGGTTCTACCTTAGAATGCAAAATGCTGGCGAATTTGCCCATCGCCTGGTTGACACTGTCCTTCACCAGTCTCAGAATACATTCAAACCTTGGCTCGATACCCTCATCCTCTATACGAGAGCTTATTTTTACCCACTTCCTTTGCAGCCGAGCAGGTAGGCGTCTCGCAATTACCTCTAGGACTGAGCTGGAGTTGAGGTCACTCACGCAATTCATCGAAATCAAGGTATTCTTATAAGTCATGAGATTATCCAAAAACTCAGTAAGTGCTTTGGAGTCATCTTGAAGTTGATGCCATTACCTTTGACAGCTTCGTATACGTTCCTTACAATCATTGAAGGTCTTCCAAACCTTTGACGTAATATGCTCATAGCCTCAGCGTATCCCTCATTAGGGGGCATGAGCTTACAGCGTTGTATACCACATGAAGCATATCCAGTGCAATACCTCATCAAATACATCAATTACAATTCATCACTTAATAAAAAACTACTCAGCATGATCTCAAACTCCTTTACAAACTGTAAATAATCAGCCGGGTTTCCATCGAAACACCGCGGTCCAAATTTAGGGAGTTTGATGTTCCTATTATCCCTGAACGGCGAAACAGTAACATCAACCATGTCATGCTTAACATCAGACACATCATTACAATTAACAGACAAGTCAACATGACTTACTTTCCTGTTTGTATCCAAGACACTCTGTCCCTTCTTTGACCCAGGCATTGTTGAACTTGACCCAATTCCAAAAACGTTCCAGATATCGGCTGTTCAAAGAGGACTTGACCGGCACCAGGAAAAATGAACGGCTACTATCCAAACTTTCACCAACTGTTTGAATCCGCCAGATCTGCCTCCATCGTCAGAAACTGTCAATCACGTCTCATAAACCGTTAATGCCCAGCTCTCGCTACGCTCGGGCCCACGCTGTTCCTCGAAGATTTCAGAAACGCTTAGTTATAACGGACGCAAAAACCAAAACACTGATCTGCCGCTTGATATTTCTGTATTGTTACACCAACATATAAAACGAATAAGCGAACTAAGGTCTGAAAACAAATATTACAATAATAAATCTCTGTATTACTTCTGACGATGTTTCACTCTTCTTTCTGAACAGCGACAAATGAGACGATGACTGTCGTATTGATGCCTCCGCGAAAATTGGGGAAGTTGATTTTGAGCAAACAACCAAGAATTGATCGTTCAATCTTCAACTCCATTGACAACTCATTTGTATGAATGAGGCAAAAATTTGTGTGACTGACTTGATATGATTATGAGCAATAATTTGTGCTCGAAACGTCATCAGATAATATTGCTGTACAACACTGTGTGATTTATCAAAATAAAATCGTATCCATAATGGAGTTATACTCTACCAGCACAGTGCCCAAGTTTTATACTTGTATCAAAAATACTTATCTTGTGCGTTTTGTGTCTCCTAATTGTTTCCTTTTTGTCTTCCTCATTGCAGGTTGTCAGTCTCTGTAGATATTCTACTAGGTGTCGTCACACATAGTGTCTACAAGCAGTCTTTCAATTCATCTACCTCCCGCAAAGTTGTTGTTACGATGCCTTTAGATTATTTATTACTGATGTAATGACATGCAAGACTTGTACATGTTACTGTGAAGTTTGCCTGTAATAACATTCCCTCTATAGTAAATACAATGCTTGTGATAACAATTCGTCATTATCTTTTCATTGCGTTGATAAGTGCGTATATATTAGAAAAAAGCTAACCTTGTCGTTTTAGTTCTCTAAATTACAATCACTAAGTGCCCATACCTCTGCTGAATACCAAGTGCTACTCGCGGCCCATGAAATACTTATTACTGCATTCGTAAATAACTATCAAACTATTATTACATGGGATAGTGAGACAGAAGGCGTATGAAATTTAGATATTAATGTTTATCTGAAGTTAATGACACAATACATAGGTACATGTTTCATTTCCAAACAAGTGAATTTTATAGGGTAATGTAGGGCTGAGCGCGGTGAGTTAATAGTGTATTCTTTACTGTATACATCTTGTATGAGTGAAATGCTTCTATTCAATTTTCGGCGTAGCTGCAATATCACCCTGCAGGGTCTCTTCAATGCACTCTCATAGGGAATAATACTTGGTACAAAGGAATCCAGCCAAAAGCATATGTGGCACAGTCAAATGACTTTTTCAACTAAAAGCGGCAATGCTGATATTAAGTGTGATTTACCTGTAAACTGAGGGACTCTAGTGTAATACAGCACCATATCCCAGCAGGGTATTCTTTGTGTTTAACAGGTAAAAGTGGAATTCATGGACTGAGCATTTGTTGAATATGGAGGCGACCCATTGAGTCACGTAGACGAAAGGCTGACGAAATGCGATACCTTACACATGCACCTTCAGATGTAGGCATGTGTCACTTCACATGAACTCTGGACCATATCGAGTAGGCATTCCTTTAAATCTCCCCTACCCTGTGCGCTCAATTACTGCTCGTATATGTGATGACTTGGTGCGTTTCCTAGTTTGCCTATAATTACGGAATGTACATTATATTAAGCAACACAAATGGATTTTGTGAACACCAGTTTGTTCGAAGTTAATTCGCAAAATTATTTTGAAATCGCCTAGAAGTATTGTCCGATATCTCTTCAAACCATGGACCGAAGGTTTAGGAGTGGTTGCTGTATCCATTTAGGACTCATCGATTTCCGCAAGTAAGGGCTACGCATCATATTCCTAAGTGCCTCTAGAAGCGAACAGAATCTTCATAAGCTATTAATGGTAAGAACAGGAAACCCAGCTCCTCTATTTCGAAACATCTTATAGAGACAGGACATAGAATTGACGTTGGTACATTTTTAAACCTATCAGTAAGACGTGTTTCGATTGCATCCTAAGGTTTGTGGAAGCCCAAGTGTAATTAGGAAGTTTAAACCACCTTTGTGAGTTCCAAAAATATTCGTCATCACACGAAACCTTTGTTAAACTTCGTTTTGATACCAGTCAGGGTAGATGTACTAATGCCTCTGATATTTGGTTTAGTGAGCTTCATTGTTGTTTTGACCTTCAATATGTGACTTTAATTCCACCTAAATTTATGTCTAACCTCTTAACTGCATTAATTTCATATGTATTCTTATGACAAGTCCATGCGTGACCACTATACATTTTTGTTAAATATAAATACGACTGTACAGCCTCTGAAGGAAGATGATTTCGTCGGTAAAGAAATATTTTCTCCGCTGAATTTGTCGTTTACTGCCTTCATGACTAAATGGGTATGTTCGGTGATTATTAGAACATTCTATTTGATGATAGAGACAGAGTGCTTTCCCGGAGTTCAATACTGCATTAGCAAAAGAATAATAAACGTGTTTGAACATTCTATTTCATGTCGTTTAATGTAAACCGAAATCACACGCTCACTGATTGATTATAGAATATAACCCGGCCGATAACTGCTACCTTGTCGTGGTGGTCGCGGGCTTGAATACCGTAATGACCTAGCATGCTAAACTGACTGGTACTCTGTGTCTGCAGGTCCTACCATGTCAGGAAGGGTGTTTGGATAGCGGTTAAACTAAAAGCAGTTACCATGAGGTACATGGGCTCCAGTATCCAATCGGATCAAATGGCGTATGAACTCATATGGGTCACCGGGAACCATGGGAATGCAGCTCCTGACGCTGCTCCGCTGCCTTGCGGATTAGATTCCAAGTCAACGGCTCAGAGGGTGATTCCCTTAATAAAACCACCTGCTTCGGTCTGGGCGCCCAAGCAGTATCTCAGCCCTCACACAATGAATTGAATAAAGCTACAAACAATCAATGAAACTTATCGCCTGCTATTACACGTGTTGCAATTTCCTTCTTTCTTCCCTTACCGATGATAGTTAACGAATACTGTTTGAACTTGTTAAGCATGACTGTTTTCCTTCCAGATGAAGTTCTTTATTCGTTCTCTACTTATACATATATTTTTTTCTCTTCTTTCATTTTTCTTTTGATCTACGTTGTTTTATTATTATTGTGTGGCTCATCCTTCTTGGTGCCACATTGAACCAAGTTTTAATGCGTTTAAATAAATAAATAAAAGGATATAAACTGTATAGATATAAATAAACGGTTTCATCACTTGAAAATATAACTTGGAATCTGTATCTTGCTTTATGCTGTTATAATAATAGGCAGCCTTGTCTTACTCGGGTCTTCGCTTCAAAGTCTTCGGCCTACAATCGGATCTAGATCTCAGAACGTGTCTGTGTAACTCTAGAAAACAATTACTCGACACAACAGAATCTTCAAGTTCAAATGTTCATTTGGAAGGATTTCATTGATTACAAGATTTCATCATGAGCTGATATCGGTTGAAGAACCACTCGAAGTACTGGACACCTCCTTCGTCCTAGTTTGGGACTCTTCAAATAGGTAGTTACCTGGATTCTAGTGAGAAGTCGTGACCATTAGGGTACACCAAGTCGGGTGTGAGAACAGACATTAGCTAACAGTAGTGCTATGTCGTGAACTGGCAGAAGTTGGAATTCATGGGCTGGCCACTACTGTGCAGGCTCCCAGTGACTGAATGGTTTATGAGCTCGCCTTGTAACCGGAAGACCCTGAGTCCGAATCCTGACCAAATAGCTGTCCAGTACTCCCAGGTTCTCCAATGGTTCTCTAACTGATGTCAGCTCATGTTGAAATCCTGTAAATAATCTTTAAAATCACTACTATTATTGATGTATTAATGAATATGATTAACACTACAAAGAGCTTACTTGTCAAAACAAACTGAGGTGATATGAGCAGTGTGGGCTTTTTCAATTCGAGTAATAAGATCCACTTTAACGTTGAATACCTTCGCAGATTGAGTTGACGATGCTGATGACGACAAGTTATCTGGTTCTTTTAAACGCCATAAACAAATAGACAGATCCTTTGAACCACTTGCAATCCATTCACCACATTCAGAGACTGTTATATCCATAATTACATCAGAATGACCACCTGGGATAAGATGACATTTCCATGAACCACCTTTCTTGTTGTTGGAAGAATTTAATCCATGTGGATTCATAAAAATTTTCATATGCGGTGATGCATCAGCAAGAATAAGGTAATTGTGATTTCTACCAGCGATACACAACTGATCCACTTGTCCAATATCTCCAAGAAACTGAAAGGAAAATAAAAACAAATGAATTCAACAATGCTCATAATTTTCGATAACCTCTCCGTCATCATCACATTCTACAACTGTATATCCATCCATAATAATGAGGAAATTATTTTTATCGAAGCTGCATCAGCCCCAACATCAAAGGGTTGATCTCTGACGAAATCTCAGCACGGATACAGAGGGTTAGTTTCGCATATGCAGTCTCTGGCTTAGCAGACGTGATATCCTGTTGTCTGTCGACTAAAGGGTGAGTGTATTGCTTATCAGTCCGCTCTGTCTTCCTCTATCGCTGTGACACCTGGCCATTGAGAGTGGAAAACATGAAAAGATTAGCTGTCTTTGATCATATATGCCTGCGCTCCATCTCCCAAGTGAAGTGGTATAATAAGGTGAGCAATATCGAGGTTAGGGGTCGAGTGCTAAGTAAGGAGGGGTAATCAATCGACGAGGCTGTGAAATTACATCGACTGAGATGGCTAGAACATGGTGTTACGGATACCTAGTCATCTCCTTCCTCGACACCAGGCAATGTTAGCTGACAAAAGGTCAGGCTGGAAAAGAGCCAGCGGCGGTCAAACCAAAACATGGCTACACCAGTCAATCAAATCCCAGGGTTCGAACCCTGGCGGTGGGGTGCGTACTGCTGAGGAGTCTCAAACTATGACGAAACAGCTGTCCAATACTCCCAGGTTTTCCAATGACTCCCTAAACAATGCCAGCTCATGATGAGATCCTGTAATCAAATCCACAACAGTTAGTTTAAGCCAACCAGTCACGTAGGAAGGTGCAGACTTCCTGGTTGGGGTCTTCGGGACGGTAAACACCAGTGGTTGGAGGCAATTGGTGATATGGCTCAAAATCGTTCTCAATGGCTAGCGCAGATGCATCTACTCCTTGTGATTTATAATTTCTAATGAAACTATATTGTTCTTCGTTATTACAATTCCTTTTATCTCATATCCCTGTCTGCTGTCTCTATTATGCATTTCTTCTACTTTCTTCTCTTGCTTTGTGTGGTACATGGAGTGTGGCGACTTGAACTGCTGCACATCGATGCAAAGTTCTATGTCGAAAACAAACAAACAGACTCTTATTGACAGCATTAGTGTTTTTTAGAAGTAACACTGAGTCACTAACATTAGAATCCTGTGCCCTTTTCAAAGACGATGTTCCTAGTGAAATAATCACCAACAAGTTCATAAAATTTGTTCAAAGAACTTTTAATGCTGGCAAACTACAAGTTATATTCTCTAGACGACTGCCAGTGATTCTGAAAGTGAAAGATGAAGTACCTAAACCGGCTACGTTTTCTTGTATCTATCAAATTCAACTGCGTTTGTGGAACGAGTTATATCGGCCGTTGTTCTAGGAGCTTGGTTTTTCGTGCTCGCTTGGGAACACCTACCAGAGTGGCTAAATTAAGAGATGTGTATGTGTGTCATTGGCGAGTATTCCACCACTGAACTAACGACGTACAAAGCATTATCCACTAGGTTAGGAGGGCGGAACACTTTAAATTGTCCGTTAATGTTAGTGTGAGAGCGGGGATACTGCCCAGGCGCCCGGAACGAAGCAAGTGGTTGTCTTAAGCGACCATCCCCCCACCACCGAGCCTTTGACTTGGAGCACAGCACAAGGCACAGCAGCAGCATCACGCTACCCAGGTCTGAATTCTGGAACCCATGTACCCCGTAGTAACTGTTTTCAGTCTAACCGCTATCCAAACAACCTCCCTGGAATCGTAGGACCTACAGGAATATAAAATCTAGCCAGTGTAGCTTGTTGCGTCACTGAGGTATGCAAGCCCAACCACCGCGTCAAGGTAGCAGTTATCATCCCCACTGTAATCTGGTGTTTTTAAAAATACAAAACCAAAAATAATCGATGAATATTAATCATACCTCAGCTGTTAATTTAGCCACCATAGGATTATAAAATTCAACATGATTGCTTTGGCGAACAAGAAGTAATCTCTGCAACAGGTCAGTACGTTCACTTGACTCGCCCTCCTCTGTATTTTTAGCTTTAAAAATACTCAAATCACTGATAGAATGAAGTCCATAATCGATTTGATGACGTTCCAGTGGGGCATGTGTAGAATCTGATTGTGGAGTTCGATCTAACGGGCCTTTAATTTCTAAAACACAACGTCCAGCATCATCAGTATCCCAAACGCGTAGACAACCCCACTGGCCACCAGTTAATAAGAGAGATGTTCTGCTTTTAGTGAAATTAGGACCTAAATGATTTTCCAAAGCACCAATAGGCAAGAAAACACACGCCTCTAAACTCTAGAAAGGAAAAAACATAAGAATCAAAGTACATTACATGTCAATACATCTAACAAGAGAATATGTATATTCCCTTAAAATTATAATAATAATAATCTACTTTTACGAGTTGATCACGGATTGATATCAGTTAGAGAACCATTGAAAACCAGGGAGTACTGGACAGCTGCTGTTTCATCCTAGTTTGGGAATCATCGGCAGTACGCACCCACTGGGTTTCAAACCCAGGACCTTCCGGTTACAAGGCAAGCTCGTATACCATTCAGCCACTGGGACTTGATTCAATGGCTCGTGAATTCTAACTTCTACCAATTCGTGATTTAGCGCGACCCCAACCATTGTCGTTGGTGGGACATCCATCCACACACGTGAAATCTAATTGGACCTCACTGGTTCTCTAACTGATATCAATCCGTGATCAACTCGTAAAACATAACTAATCCTTACAAACCAAACTATAAAAATAATCTACTTTATTCCGAAAACAGTACTACTTATGATACAGAGTTGGATTCTCAGCATTTGTCACAATATTTCATCTGATTTACTCAAAATATAAACAAAATTAAAACAAAAGTAACCAGAGAAAGTTGTTCACATTTACGATATAAAGTCAAAAATATTCGAAGTAGGAATCGAGAATATTAAATATAATAATAACAGTGAGTTTGTTTCAAACAGTATTGTCCATTCAGTTTGAAAAATTTAGCATGTTATAGATTATTGAATCTAATGTTCTGTTGATTTAGCAGCATGGTGAGGGGAAATACAAAATTAACAGTTATAACACAGCTTAAATGATGTTCACACTTTTGAAAAAAATAAACAAAAACAAAAAATTGAGAGGATTATAAATATAAGAAATACAATATCAATGAAGGTTGGTGTTGTAAGGGTGGGCGAAATGGTTTATTTATTAGTGCAAAGAAGGTTAGTTAGTTCATGCCTAACACTATTTTCATCACATAAAATACGTGCCGCCAAATATGGTATAGTGGAATTTTTATACTTAGACGTACGTGCACAAAGTCTTCTGAAAAGACTTCTGGTTTTACTTGAGGAGACACAAGGTTGGAGCTGTGAGTAAAGTGGGTGCTCAGAGTCTGACAAAATTCCTTTAGTAAATTTGTTACGTGACATCAAGTGCCTATCCGTGACAATGTCAACGATATGGCTCAATAGGATAGCTGCCACTCGCCCTACTGACAGTCACTCTTCAGAGTTCTATGAAGTATGACATAGTCTTTTTTAAGCAGTCAAGGAGAGAATAAGCAAGGGTGAACAGTAAAGAAGAACAGGTGAAATACACGAGTTGGCAAAGTGTAAGAGGAGGGGTTGGTTGGGTAATGCCTGAGTGCCTTAACCTCTTCTTAATGAAAAACGTCAGACGAAATATTCTTTTAGAAATCGCTAAGACACGGGAAGAAGAAAGGATTAATCCAAGATACTTAACTTGATTTCTATATCAGTATCATCAATTTTGCAAGGGTCATACGAAGCAACAGCTTCATTTAACTTTCGTTTAAATCGGAAACTGAAATTAACAGCCTGACATTTGGAAGGATTTAGTTTAAGGCCGTTACACGAAGACCATTCGCTAATTCCTGATAGAAAGCTGTTCATCTTAGCACAGTCAAGCTGGGAGTTAACAGACATTGAAACAGTTAGATCATCGGCATACTTGATAAAGTTCATTTCATCAGAGTGAGGCATGTCATGCAAGAAGAAAGAAACCAGAAAACGGGAAAGGACAGAGCCTTGAGGCAAACCAGCCTCAGTAAGCAACGAAGTGGACGACTTTCCCTGACATACAGTGTACTTCTTTCTTCCTGAGAAATAAGAATGCAGCCATTTGACAACCCAACAGTCAGTTTGAGTTTCAGCAAGCTTGTTTAACAAAATATCCCTAGGTACCGAGTCGAAAGCAGATGTGTAATCCCGGAAGGTGCAGCGAACAATTACAAGTAAATAAGGACTTAGTTATATATTGTGTAAAAACCTAAGGTATAATACTTGAATGCACCATTAAAACTAAGTAAGCAAATTCAGAAAGTGATCACTGGTGTTGTACTACTGACAAAATTTATCACTAGTATATGGATGCAGATTGACAGGAAGGAAGCAGCCAAAATTGGAAACAACATTTTACGCCAGTAGCTGCAGAGCTAGAAGTGTTCATTTAGTTTACGTTGTGGTCAGGAGATAATGTCATTGGACAACTTTTCGTCTCAAGGTTTAACCTTTGACAATCCGACAAACAATCAGAATAGTTTATTTTACGCTGGCCTAGCTGACGTTCAATATGGCTAAAATTGTATAAGGTGCGCTTTTCCTGAATGAAAAGTTTTCATCACCAAGTCACCTATCTTCTCCCATTACAATTATCCAGTCTTTTTGATCACACTTTGTAAGTTGTGCTGTGAACACTATTCAAGTAAGTATATGCGTATAATCAATCCATGCTATTTAATAAAATGGCTGGAAGAAAATTTAGAGGCTGGAATTTATAAATCAGTACACCGAGAAGTTATTCAACATATAAATGAAGAAAAAACTAGCTAACTCAAACAAAGATTAAACTGACACCTTTGAAAGTAGGCCACAGAAAGAATTCCGCAATGATACTATTTACAACTGGTATGAAATGTGGTAGAAACAATATTTAGTCAATCGCCTGCAGATTACTAAAAGTGAACTGTAGATTAAAGACTTGTGGTTCTTTGAACACAAATTTAGTGCATTTTGGGCACCAAAAGATACGCCAAACAAAACTTCACAGTTCATGCGAGGCCTGAGATGCTGGTAGGACGCTCAGACCGAAACAGGTTGTTATCTTAAGAAGCCATCCGCAGGCTTCCGGTTTGAAGTTTGATCCACAAGGCAGTGGAGCAATGTCAGTAGCTACATTCCCATGGTCGCCAATGACCAAAAGAGGTGCATAGACCATTTGATTCGTTCGGATTCTAGAGCCCTATGTAGGTCAGAATCTAGACCAGTCCTGCTGTAAATACCAGACGTCCGTATTCACCCTTCCACTTTCGTCAGAAACAACCCCAAGGAGTGAGAGCAGTGAACATGATTTGCCTGCTAGAGGCTATGAGTGCGTAGCTACAGCAAAGTATTTCAAAAGGAAGACGGAAGTAAACTCAACCTCGATTTTTCGTTTGGTACATCGTTTATATTTTTCGGTTAATTTTTATCGAACTAAGCAGTAGCAAAATCCCATCAGATATAAAGCATTCTTGTGGGGATGTTGCAGCTTGAGTTAATTTTGAAATGCTTTCCACATGTTGATCCTCCATAGGGCTTTGATGTACACTAATTAGTATTCAACGTTACTTTTGCAGTAAATGAGAGTAAACATTCTGTTACATTAGTATGAAAATGTCATCCTATAACTTATCAGATTTTCTAAATGGGAAGCCAATAAACACATATTTGACTTTAGTAAGCCCTTGTAATTGTGGACTTTCTATGTCTCATTAACGTACATGCTTTCAATTCACCTCACACCAAAAAATTGTATCGTTGTCCTCCAATTCCGACTTCTTTAACGAACAGATTTACCTCAGCAACACAAAAGCTGGGCAGTTCTATCATCTTTAGTTAAATGAAGGACTGAAAGGTCTTCCTGCTGATAAAAAACCCACGGAAATACAGTAGTGAGCCTCCAGCCAGAGTTAGAGCATTGCTAACCACGATGATCCCAGCACTGGGTAAGTTTCACACAACAAATGACGTCTATTCACTACTCCTCCTGTTTGGCTGATGGTGTCGTGAAATTCTAAGAATACACACCTTTCAAATTAGAACGCCAAGAGAGGGTTTACGAAAACGATTAGATAGAAAAAGAAAACGACGGCTTCCATTCCTGGCACATGAATTCAACTAGTACAAATATGGCAAGTAAAAGTGGAACTCACTTCAAAAGCTGGTATCACTTTTTGTTTGGTAAAATTTGTAGTTGACCAAACAATGATGACTTTATCTCGTCCACAACTGAAACCAATATATATTTTTTTTAAACTAAGCAAAATTTTATTCCTTACGTGACCACTTCGTTTTTCACCTCATTGAAATCTAAACTTGTAACATTGCTTTGATGACCTTCTAAGGAGGATGTATGCTTCCCTGTCTCAGTATTCCAGACAGCCACAAAATGATCACCAATCGATGAGGAGAAAAGGTATGGCAGTGATGGATGAAACTTCAGTAGCCTGTTAAATGAGGAAAAGTATGCAGGAGAGTTTGTTAAAACCTTAGTGAAAACATTTAATTTATGCACTGAGGTGTGCTCGAATGTAAGTGAACTCGTCAATACTACTAGTTTACAACGGAAAACTCTGAAAGGCGTTTTAAGTGAAGACAGATGTAAGACAAGGTTGTCTATTATCACCGATGATATTCGCGTTTGTAGCGGACTGGATTATGCGTAAGACTGTGCGTTGGGAGTGAGAAGACAGAAATGCGCTAGACCGATAAGATCCTGATTTCATGGATAATATACGTCGTGTCATACAAACTTGAAGACTTGCAGGCGAAAACTAACAAACTGACTGAAGAGGCAGCGAAGACAGGACAGCAGGTGAGCATAGAGAAGACAGAGGTGATGAAGACAACCAACGAACAGCAACAACAACCAGCATTAATCATCATCAGATGGAGAGATTCAACAGAGGTTACCTCCTTCACTTATCTGGCCAAGAAGCACCGCTTCAACTACAGGTGGAACGGATGATGGTGCCAAAGCCATATTCGGAAAGGCAAGATACGCCTTCATCACTCTGATATCAGTCTGGAAATCTTCACTCAATATAAACAACAAGATTTGGATTTTCAACACAAATGTTAAGTCATTTCTTCCATATGCGTCAGAAACTTGGCACGCGCAAGTCACGGAAAGCATTTCCAACAGGCCACTAGAAACTTTCATCAACAGCTACCTTTCCTCCATACTAAAAGTCAAGTGGGCAGCCAGAAAGGAGAATATAGACAGTCGTGGGGGCAGCTTAAGGCGACGTCCAAAGGAAGGCAACACGTATGATTCTCGGCATGACTACTTACCGTACGAGGAAAGACTAAACAGTTTAAATCTCTTCTCCCTGTCATTCTGTAGGCAGAGAGGATATTTGATTACAATGTTTAAAATTTTAAATAATGACCAAGGAACTGACCTATTCTCTCTTTACCTCCCCACCAGGTCGCAACACCTTAGAGGACATAGCAGGAGAGTTCAAAACCCACGAAAAACTCATATTGCTGTTGAATACTGGTTATCACACCGAGTCATAAACTCTTGGAACCGATTCCAAGAAGAAGTGGTGTCTGCAACCTCAACTGATTCGTTCAAGAAGGGTTTGGACAACCACAGGAATCTACCAGAAAAGGATTAACATAGGCTGCAAGCCTTCTATCCTCAACCAATAAATCTGAAAATCTGAAAAAACACGCTTTAAATTCCTATCACAATTTTCTTTTCTTTTTCTTTTTATTCTTCTGTTCCTTTGTTTCATTGACAAACGATCATTTTTCACTTTTTATGATTTTACGACCTTTTTTGTGATTTTTTTACCTTAGGTTTAAGTACTGCTTTTCTAACTTGTTATCGTATCTACAATATTCCGTTCATTCCACTTCAATAAATTCATTATTATTATTTGAAAATCATTCAACAATAGTACTTTTAAGTTTAAACCATGTCATCGTTATTATTTTACAATCATTTTTATCGTCGTTATTTTTAATCTTGAACTTATGTCTAGTCCACCCCATCCGTTGGTTTATTTTCTGCAGTATTCATATTGCCTCACACACCGCACCCTAGGACCCTGTAATTTTGTTAACGATATATCTATATATATTTAAAACAATTAGTCCCTTTTATAAACTTTGATAGCGTTATTAGAAGATTGAGACTATCTGAAAAATGTGATGTATTAGCGCTATACATTTCGAAGAATCTGATCACACATTTACTTGTCAAGTCAATACATATAGAAAGGTTAAATTAGACAAAGTGAGAGAAAACGGTCTGTCTCTGTCTGTCTGGATTCAACATAGAACTTGGCACCGAAGTGCACCAGTTCCAGTTGCCACGTTCCAAATAGCACACAGAGGTAGACAAGAAGATGAGTGAAGAGAATAAATACAGACTGACAAGTATAAGAGTGAAACAGAATGATTAATGGTAGAAAGGAATATGAAAGATTACAGAGACTGAATACATCTGCGCCTACCATTGACAACGATTTTGAGCCATGTCACCTATTGTCTCCAGCCATTGATTCCTAGCCCGACCGAAAGCTGCTACCTTGACGTGGTGGTCGGGCTTGAACACCGCAATGACCTAATCAAGCTATACTGGCTGAGACTTATGTCTCTTGAGGTTCTACCATGCCAGGCAGGTTGTTTGGATAGCGGTTAAACAAAAAGCAGCTACCTCATCCAATACCATGATCCAAACAAATTCACAAAATTTCATGCCGGATCGGCCGTGGCCCGGATTAACAACGACCGCGCTTCCTGCTGCCGTGTCACAGGGCGGGAGTGATAAGTATGCTACTGAGGCACACAAAACAACGAAGAACGAACAAAAACAGGCCGCGTGTGACCGGCCACAAGCAGTTGTCCCCTGGGCTCTGCGGTCACGCAACCAACTTCCACGGTGTGGGCAGCCGGGAAGTAACAATCGCCCTCACAATCCGAAATGCACACAAAACCTCTCTAATCCTCACTTATCTTTGTCTTCATCTTCATCTCTATTACCTTGCCTTCCTCCACTGATGCAACTCCTCTACTTGATGGCTCCTCACTCCCTCTTCACTCTGTGTCCACTAAAAACGACGAAAGCCAAAAAACCACCACGGATAGTCTCCTAAAGCCACGCCACCAATTTCATATAGGAGCATTTAATGTTAGGACACTTTGCCAAATAGGACAACAAGCATCACTAGCTAAGACCCTGGCATCTCGAGCCATTGATGTATGTTGTGTTTCAGAAACACGCATACAAGACCCAAGTGTGGTTATTCACCTAACCCCACCTGGCCAACAGGATGAATCTTCAAAATTCACCTTGAGGGTGTCAGGAGATGCCACAGCTAGTTCACGGGGATTAGCTGGCGTAGGGATAGCTCTGAGTACTAGGGCAGAAAAGACATTGCTTGACTGGATCCCGGTAGATAGCCGAATGTGTGCTGTCCGTCTGAACGGATCAGTAAGAAGGAGAAAGGACTGCACTACTCGCCGATGCCTTTTCGTAATCTCCGCCTACGCCCCCACTGACTGCAGTTCGGATGAAACGAAGGATGAGTTCTACCAAAAGCTGTCTAGTTTGGTGAGAAAGGCTAAACGCTCAGATATAGTCGTTCTAGCTGGTGACTTTAACGCTCAAGTAGGGAAATTGTGTCAATCTGAGAAGGATGTCGGTGGCACCTATGGAGTTCCGTGCCAGCGAACCGACAACGGTGACCGTCTCCTACAGTTCTGTTCAGATAATCATTTGTTTCTTGTAAGCACTAACTTTAAACACAAGGAGAGACACTGTTTAACCTGGCGACCCCCATCATCAAACCAACGCTGGACACAAATAGACCACATAGCAATAAGCTATCGTTGGCGTGGGTCGGTAGGAGATTGTCGCTCCTTCTGGAACACGTGTGTAGATACCGATCACGCACTGGTCCGGGCTCGTGTGTGCTTACGACTGAACGGACGTAGGAAACAGCTGGCGGTAAAACCATCACGTCCCCAGCTCGATCAGGAAACTAAATCCCTATTTGAGGAAGAACTAGCTAAACGCATATCTGAATCGACAGCTGTGCTCACCCTGGAGAAGCCTGGAAGAATATTCAGTCAGCTATAGATACAGCTGTAAAAGCTGTGAATAAGACAAATCCAAAGGTGAGTAAAAACCACTGGATTTCGACTGCCTCATCCGAACTGATAGATGCTAGAAGACTTATTCCGGCGAGCTCCGAATTCAATGAGGAGCGAAAGCTGCACAAAAGGAAACTTACTAAAAGTCTCCGCAAGGACCGTGAACAGTGGTGGGTGACAAAGGCGAAAGAGATGGAAAAAGCATTGGCGATAGGCAACACTAGGCAACTCTTTAGACTCATCACAGAATCGGGCGGGAAAAGGCAATTCATAAGTGAGACTATTTCTGAGAAAAATGGCTCCTTAATTAGCTCTCAGGATAGACGCCTTGAACGCTGGAAAGAACACTTTGAGGAACAATTTAACTTGCCTACAGCCACACTGAACCTCCCCGCCATCCACCACACACCCGAATGGGATATAGACACTGGTCCGCCGTCTGTAGGTGAGGTTACAAAAGCTATCAGTAATTTGAAACGAGGCAAAGCGGCAGGACCCGACGGAATTATTCCGGAGGTGTTTAAATATGGGGGTGACATACTAGTTTGTAGATTAACTGAGGTACTAGGCAAAGTCTGGGAATCAGAGACAGTACCATCAGACTGGGGTAAGTCACTCATTATACCGATATTCAAGAAGGGAAACAAGTCCTCGTGTGATAATCATAGGGGGATCAGCCTAACGAACATAGTCTCTAAAATCCTAGGCTCAGTAATCATGCATAGACTAAGCAGAACTCGGGAGGAACAGACAAGGGAAAATCAAGCAGGCTTTAGACCAGGTAGAGGGTGCATAGATCATATCTTCACTCTTCGACAGATTCTAGAACATAGACACACTTTTCGGCGTCCAACAATTGTCATATTTCTTGACTTGAAGGCGGCCTTCGACTCCGTGGACCGAAAAGTACTATGGCAATGTCTGACTGTGAAGGGAGTGCCAAGAAAGTACATTGCACTAATCAAGGCACTCTATTCAAACTCACGTAGTCGTGTAAGGGCTTATGGGGAATTGTCATCTGAATTGGTAACAACCAGTGGTGTCCGACAGGGATGTCCACTTTCCCCATTTCTGTTTAACTTCATCATAGATATGCTAATGGAAGTATCCTTAACTGAACGTAGTGACTTAGGAATCGACTTGTTACCAGGGAATAATCTAATGGACTTAGAATATGCAGATGACATAGTCCTGTTAGGGGAGGATGCTGACAAAATGCAGAGTCTTCTGAACACCTTGAGCAGCAATCTTCGTATGTTTGGCATGCGATTCGCCCCTGCAAAATGTAAGATGCTGCTACAGGACTGGACGACGTCAACCCCTAACTTAGTGATAGGGAGTGAAGTGATAGAACATGTTGACCACTTCACCTACTTGGGAAGTTGTATTAGCACCAACGGACTGATTGGCGATGAAATCTCAGCACGGATCCGAAAAGCTCGAGCTGCTTTCGCTGACTTACACCATCTCTGGCGTAGGCGTGACATCCGGTTATCAACCAAGGGACGTGTGTACTGCTCATCAGTTCGCTCCGTCCTTCTCTATGGCTCTGAAACATGGCCAATACGCGTTGAAGACATGAAAAGGTTGACTGCTTTCGATCATAGATGTCTGCGATCTCTGTCTCACGTTAGGTGGTTTCACAAGATAAGTAATGTTGACGTTAGGCGTAGAGTGTTGGGCAAAGAGGGAAAATCAATCGACGAGGTTATAAAGTTACATAGACTAAGATGGCTAGGTCACGTGGTGCGCATGCCTAACCACCGCCTCCCCCGACGGGCATTGTTAGCTGATATAGGTTCAGGTTGGAAAAGAGCCAGTGGTGGCCAAACAAAAACATGGCATCAATCCATGAAATCCTTGACAGTTAAACTGAGTCAGGTAGGGAGATGCAGACTCCCGGGTTGGGGCCCTCGGGACTCTAGGAATCAATGGCTGGAGACAATAGGTGACATGGCTCAAAATCGTTGTCAATGGCGCAGATGTATTCAATCTCTGTAATCTTTCATATTCCTTTCTACCATTACCCATTCTGTTTCACTCTTATATTTGTCAAACTCTATTGATTCTCTTCACTCATCTTCTTGTCTACCTCTGTGTGCTATTTGGAACGTGGCAACTCGAACTGCTGCACTTCGGTGCCAAGTTCTATGTTGAATCCAGACAGACAGACATTGATTCCTAGAGTCCCGAGGGCCCCAACCCGGGAGTCTGCATCTCCCTACCTGACTCAGTTTAACTGTCAAGGATTTCATGGATTGATGAGGCCATGTTTTTGTTTGGCCACCACTGGCTGTTTTCCAACCTGCACCTATATCAGCTAGCAATGCCCGTCGGGGGAGGCGATGGTTAGGCATGCGCAGCACGTGACCTAGCCATCTCAATCTATGTAACTTTATAGCCTCGTCGATTGATTTTCTCTCTTTGCCCAACACTCTACACCTAACGTCAACATTACTTAACTTATTAAACCACCTAACGTGAGACAGAGATCGCAGACATCTATGATCGAAAAACGGAATTAAGAATAATTAACACAAACGTTTGGTAATCCAATCAAATAAGGATTACCAAGGTAGGTTAAGAGTAATGACAAACTGTTTTTGAATACACAAGGGGGACTTAAGTCTATCAATAGCTATAGCCTCAGCGTATTTCAGTAAACGCCCATCTCAATTTACCTCACTTCCTCATTAACCATGCATATTCAAAACTAACTAGCCATTGTTCCATCCCATCTTATACATTTATGATATGATTCTAATTTGCCTTTGCTGGCTATTACATGCCTAAATTGATAAATTTATAATTGTAGGGTCTGAAGAAGAATTTATTGAAAACAACAACTGTTCTGTCTAACTATGCTGTTCTAAATGTCTCACAAACCTAAATACTAGTGAAAATAGTTTTCAGTTATTCAACACATTCAATGATGAAGTGAATTCGACGATATATATATATATATGAGATGTAAACGAAAGCTAACATATGACGAGTATTAATAAAAGTAAGGTATTTATTCCATGATTCTAAGCTCATGAACAATTAGGACAATCTCAAGTGCAAGTGACATAGAAAGTCCGAACAAACTTTGATTAGTAGAATACAAAATTAATACAGTGTCATCTAAATCTAACTTTAATACGGGAAAAACTTAAGCTTGAAGGGTTTGATCAGAATAACAAACTTACGTTATCATGCCTTGGTGTAACCGGCAGCTTGATGAAAAACCCTCTTTCGGACCGATATGCCATAAACGAACTACCGTATCACCCGATCCTGTAGCCAATCGTGTTGAACCTTTATTCAAAGCCATCCTTTGTATAATTCTTTGATGACAAGACTAATATACAAACATAATATATTAGGATAATCAGCTCACCATCCATGCTTTTGTCTGTCTTCGAGTTTGTCCATCAATACGTTTAAGTAGCAAGTTTTTCGTAGCTATAAACACCGTCTGGGGAATAACAAACACCATAATGAGACGCTTACCGAGTCAGCTTCATCAACAACAAAGGATGTAATGGACTCTTCGTCCTAAAAAGTAAGCTAAAAAACAAAAAACTATACCTGAATTTTGTCAGTCAGAGTGAATGAATCTGCATCTAGGATGTTAATACACAGGGAATCTTCAACAACTCGCCCACAATATATCTGTCCTGATTCTGTATGCTATAGGACTGAATAAAAACTACAAAACAGAGCTTACATAAATCGGATATTGCGAATTGAAACATGGCTGAAATTTATCAGCCAGAGAAAACCTTTAGAAATTACTTGAGAAGTCTCTTGTACATACCTTAACTTAGTAGCCATGTGACTAGGGTTGACGATAGCGCCAGTTTCATGGCCAAGTCAAGGTTGCTGAAACTCCTGGTAGCTTAAAAAAACATCTTGACGTAACGTTTTAGTCAGCCTGCTTCTTAGTATTTTTATGTTCCACTGTTCCATCTTAGGACTACATTGAAAAGAATTAATTACACTAGACTAGGGTTTTGAAAATTTTGGCAAATCAGGACGCTAGCTGTAGTTAAACTGTGTCTTGTATACTAGACAGGATAGCAGACTCGTTAGCTTATGCATTTTCATCGAACCCAGCTGAGTTGTTACCGCCATGGCATAATCCAGCATGTTAGGCCTATGCTGGGCTGTCAACCTTGGTAAAAGAGGTCACAAGAACAGATTATCTAGGTAACCTGATGATCATTTCAAAAACAGGCATATTTTTTATTTTATTTTTTTATTTTTTATTTACAGCTTGATTCCACACTGTATTTTCTGTACAAGTATGGAATTTTCAGCATGGATATCGGTAGCCCAAATTTTGCAGGCCGACCATAGATATCAGATGTGCGTCGGTGTGGGCTCGAACCCCGGACCATGTGCATGGTCGGCGAGAGTCCTAACCACTGTGCCACCGACGTACATTGGTCTTTAAAACGGTGAGGTCCAGAACACTCGCCGTAGGAGACAGCTGAAATGGTGGGTTTAGGTTGATAGGCCAGACCCTAATTCGCTACTTAGGGGTTCTTGATAAGCGTATATTTGATCTCTTTTAATAAACTGGTACAAATTTTGAAGACTGTCAGTTTTAAGCTACATAAAATGTTTGAGTAGACTACGTGCCCCACAGAAATAAAGAAACCTCCCTGGTTTGTATGCGTCTGGTTTAGCAGCCTACTTGAATTTCGGGCTACTAAAAGAATGCCATTTCCCATCAAATCACATACTTCTTCGATTCGCTCCTATATTTGGTCAGTTACAGATGCCTTGAAATCTTATTGCCTACATCCGCATGTTTTTTAATTCTTTCCTACCTATGGCATCTAGTCTCCCCAAGAAAAAGAGGACAAAACACCATTGTGGTTGGCAGCGTGTATTAAAACTTACAAAAATAAATCTTGCGACTGTCCCTAGGTGGTTAGTGCTAACTCAAGGCCTCTGCCTAACAAATTCGACTATGTTGACTATGCTATTACCCTGTGGTATTATTAATAATAATAATGTATATTCTCATATAAATATATAAATTTACATCAAAATGCATGCCATTTTTACAGGCACGATCAAGTATGATATAATATCAAATCGTAGATTGTCTACAAGTTAATAATGTTTCAACAGTTAAATATTTGATATATATATATATATAAATACACACTGTCTGAACTAGGCTGTATAGTTATTGAATTGTACAATTGTCCTCCAGGTTGAGCGGGAAAATCGACTTCGTTTCGTTTTCATCCCGTGGTTGTCGGCATACGATAACCAACCAATACTGAGGTAAGTACAACGTTTACAAGGGATTGAAAGCTGTTTTAGAAAAGTAAAAGTGCTGAGGTGAATCATTAAATTGTAATGAAATAGGTAAGTGGAAGCATCATTAATAAATACATTCATAAAGGAAACTCCCTAGGCTGACAACGTTCATTTGCAATGTATAATGCTTCCTGTACAGTTTGCACCATCATGATGTCCACTTTTGGTTTTAATACATATTTTGCTTATGTCGGTTTTTTTTATTTTATGCCTTTTTGTGCATTTAGTGCACAACCGTACCCTACAGAGAATAGGAATAGAATAAGTCGAATCAAATTCATAAAGAGCTATAAAATGTTAGGTTTAATGGGATATAATGAGGATCAAATAAAGACGTTATTAGAAAATAAGTGAGACAAGATATTGTGAAGTGGTATTTAAAGATCTGACAATGGACAGCAAGTTAGTTTATAAGATGCCCCATAAATCTGTGCAGATCCCACGTGGTCGCGTCTCAACAATAGGCTGAGCGAATGGCATTGATTTAAAGGTAGAAGCATGATCTGTCTAGGCGTTCATTATTATCTTTTTCAAGATAAAGATCTAAGCCCTCATAAAAATCAGAAATATCTCGAGCCTTTAATTTGTATATTGCTGTTCCTGCAGAATGGGGCGATTCACCTTAGTGACCCCCACCATATCTACTGATCAGCTAACGCCACCTTCCCTCCATTTTTGATGTTAAGCTCTGAGACTATGATTATTATGGCTACCGCAAATATATTGCTTGGTATCAGACATGTTCGTACCTCATATTCCATCTCCCTAGCTTTCTTAATGAGTGCTTCCAATAGGTCTCCGCGTACATCTTTATGAACATATTATATATGTGTGCATGCGTCCTAATGAACAGATTACTTTATAAGGAGTCAAATCCTTAAAGAATAAAAAGAATAGGTTTTGTGAATAGTGAAGCAAGATTCAGCAGAACAATATAGTTAGGGATCAATGTAGGTAGTATGAACTGAAGGTAAGGTCGGTTGGCAGGACTTAGTGTACTAAATTATCATGACAGTCTTATATATAGTAAACATTTGACATTGCAAAGTAACCCGTCTACATATATTATAAAAAGATATTAACAGAACCAACAAAATTTCAGCATTTGTTTAACAATACTACAGAAGGGTAGTTAGTACTACAGGTAGTCGTGAAGTAAATCAATCTATGTATAATAAGAGCATAGTCAGTGTCATAATTCGTATTATCAAAGAATACATTAGGCTCAATAACTGAGTTTTATAAGGGAAACAAGCATGGTAAAGCAAGAGAACACTTGCCGCATAGCTATTTTCATCATTTTAGGTATTTTAATGACAATCTAATTTCAAGTATTGAACCTGCATAATTACTAAGTATTATTATGTTAGTCTGGGAACTAGTGTACTTTCTGTAGTTAAATATTGAAAAGCCATTGTCTCTCCACTCTTCCAGCAGTTGAGATCTTTGAGGCGGGCTAGGGTGGACATGTTTATATGTTTTTCTAGGCTCCTTTTGAAACTGTCAGGCCTTTCACAGGATCTAGTCTCAGAGGGTAGTTGGTTCCAAAGTTTGCAATATTTAATGGTGAAGAAGTTGGCTCTAGTGGTGAGTTTATGGGTGTTAACCTTGAGAAGGTAGTTGTGGTTGCGTAGTCCATACGATTTAGGATTAGCCCAGGTTATGGACGAGTTACTGTTACAGTGCTTTCTTATAACTTTGAATAAAAGAAATAAATTGCACTTCACTCTCCTTAACCACAAGGGCTCTAAGTCCAGTCGAATACATCTGTCAAGGTATTCTATTTGCTGACCATAGCCTAATATGCGTTTCGTAAGGAATCTTTGGACACTTTCAACTTTTTTTCTGTCTGCTGATTTAAAGCTACTGTATAAGTGGGCACAGTATTCAAGTTTGGGGCGAATGCATATCTTATATATGGCTAATCTGGCTTCTGGAGTGTAAAAGTTGCGTAGCACAAAGCCGGTTAGACGTTTACAATCAGATACCACCTTATTTGCATGTTCAGTAAAGGTAAGATCTGAGTATGTTATCCCGAGATCTGTGACTGTGTTCGTGTTTGAGACAAGGTCACCGTACATGTATAGACACATGCTAGGTTTCCAACGTCCGAAGTATGTTATCCCAGATTTAGCTGGATTGAACGTTAACTGCCACTTTTCACTCCAATTACATAGACTATTTAGGTCTTCTTGGATTTTACTAACAATATTCATATCATTATAGTCAAAATCATAGACAACTTTGAGGTCATCTGCAAAGAGGTATGGCTTGCCATACTTGATCATAGAGACAATATCATTTATGAATACAATGAATAGGGTAGGGCCAAGAACACTACCTTGTATCACGCCGCTGGTTATCGGTTTGGATGTTGATAAGTGATGGTTGACTTTAACTAACTGTTCTCTTCCTGTAAGAAAGGAAGTTATCCACTCAAGAAGCCTTCCACTTATTCCATAAGATAGGAGTTTCAGTATGAGTCTTTTATGTGGGACTTTATCAAAAGCTTTCCTAACATCTAGAAATAATGTTGTATTGTAGCCACACAAGATATGTAGCTGCAGCAGTATGACGACAATCTAGTTTCATTAGATGAACACGAAGTGTTCCACCAAGGTAGACGGTTCGAGGAAAAATCATGGCAGAAAGGTAGACACACCACGGAATAAGGGTGTGTTGGCTTTCAAGGACAGTGCCACGCCTTCCAAGGCAGGACCATACACCCACAACTCCTAAAGCATTTCATCTGCGGAGACCGAAACGAAATATAAACACCAAAATGATATTCATGGATAATCCCCATCCAGGCATTAATGAAAACAAAACACGTAGATCAGCGAAGAGTCTCTTTTCGGCGAATTCATTTTCTTAGCTGTACAATCGCAAATATATATGCATTGTTTTGTATGTATGTGTACATTAAGTTTGTCCAACAAAGTTACAATTGGTTAAGGTTACTTTTAACTAAACAAGTGGAGGATGGTAATACAGGTCAAGAAAATTAAGTGCTAATGAAACTAGGGTAGTAAAAAAAATGATGAGTTGTCACAAACAGTTGTAATAATAATAGTGAGTTTTACTCAGGATGCACATAGAAACAAAGTAGATAATACGAAACTATGTAAGAGATTTAAGTGAATACAAGAATTATAAGCAATTAAGGAACAGGCGAAGAAACAAAATTAAGTCATCAAAATAAAATAAAAGCTCAAAACAAATCAAAACATTGTTACCATGAGAGTAGAAGTGGTTGAGTAATCTTCTTTTGTATGCACAGCTCCGGTTTTTCCATGTGAATGGCCAGAGCTTCAGCGATGCAAAGGAGACGAAACCGTATTGCCTTTGATATGTTATTCTTGACTCTGTAGATTACTTTGAAGGAGGCGTTCGTTGAAATGCAATGATCAGTGTTGACCAGGTGTTCAATTATCGCACTCCTTATTGCACCAGTATTGCCTTTTCGCAACCATGCTGGATAATGTTCTTGAATTCTCTTGGACAGGATGCGCGTCGAACGACCGATG